TAACGGCCAGTCATAAAATCATAGAATGTTTTGGGCTGGAAGGGACCCCTAGAGGTCATCTAGTCCAACCCCCTGCAGGAGCAGGGACACCGCTAACTAGACCAGGTTGCTCAGAGCCCCGTCCAACCTGGCCTGGAATGTTTCCAGGGATGGGGCCATCACCACCCCTCTGGGCAACCTGTTCCAGTGTTTCACCACCCTCATTGTGAAGAATTTCTTCCTTAGATCCAGTCTAAACCTACCCTGGTTTAGTTTAAAACCATTAGCCCTTGTCCTGTCACAGCTGGCCCTACTGAAAAGATTGTCCCCATCTTTCCTATAGGCTTCCTTTAGGTACTGAAAGGCCGCAATCAGGTCTCCCCGCAGCCTTCTCTTCTCCAGGCTGAACAACCCCAACTCTCTCAGCAGTCCCTGGTAACCCCCTGTACGCTCCCTGGCAGCTGTGTGAGGTGCGTCCGGTTGGTGCAAATCTTGGTGCTCAGGCTAGCGGCAATGATATTTTAGATGTGGGAAATGGAAAAAGAGAAGTGGTGAGATTCCCCCGCCCGCTGGTCCCAAGCGCCAGCATCAGGAGGGGGTGTTTGGCATGGAGATGCGTCTCTGGAAGCGCAGTTGTTCGAGCAGAAAAATAACGCTGCAATTGAAGCATCCAGTTTCTGGTATTTAGACCTGAACTCAAGATTTCAGGCTTCTGGAAACTCCTATTATTTGTAAACAGTAAAATTAATAAAATCACCTGGAGCCTAGAGGGAACGAAGCCCATGTGATTGCATCTGCCTGCCTCTGCCCCCCTTTCTGCCTCTGCTGACCGATGCCGCTGGGCAGTACCCAAAGAAGGGCAGAAACTTCAAACTTTGGAAAAACCAATGCCTGGGGGGTAGGGAGGGACCCAGGTTAGTGCTCCCCTGGGTAACAGGCGGGCAGAACCGAGATGGCACGGATAATATTACAGGGATTTAGCTGCAGCCAGCTGGTGGATTAGTACCTACGTAGTTCTGGACTCGCCAACCCCAGCTCACACTTTTCTGCATCTGGAGGGTGTGCAAGATGGCTTTGGTGGAGCGTCTCGTTATTGCAGCCATGGGGGCAGAGGGGGACAAACAGAAATGTAGAGGTATCCAGGCGCTGAGAACCACTTGCTCCATGTTTTCTTTTTTTTTTAATTTTGCAGTAATCAAACTGCTTTTTTTTTTTTTTTTGAAAGATGGCAGAGTAATAGGATATTGCAGGTTAACTCATCCCTTCTAAATCCAGATGGAGTATCTGAAGAATTTCTTTGCTGTGTGTAAATATCATGAGGTGAGAAAAATAGTAGGGAAATAAGTTTTGGTGTCAAGGGAGGATTGAGTGGTGTGTCTGGGTTTTGTGTCAACATTTAATTCACAACATGCCATCTGCTAATCCAGTAGCTATTGTTTTGGCAGCATATGCCACACAGCTGATTTTGTTTGGAAACCATTGAGTAGAAAGTCACTTCTGAGCAAAGGTTCCTGCTCTCGTTTTGATGTTTGTGTAATTGAAAGAAGCCGATATGAGGTTTTTGCACGAGCCTTGGTTTTTAGAAAGGTAACTTAGCTTTTCTGAGGGAAGGGGGAGTTTTTACAGTGCTGTGGGAGACGTTCTGCATACAGCTCCCGAGTAACTGACACATTGTATATGGGAATGCCAAACATTTACATCACCACCCTGAAAAGTGCACTTTGCTTATCGGCGTGTGCACTTCTTCCCAGCAGTTACTGTCATTAACCAACCCCATCCACACAGGTAAAACCTCTGACCCAACGTCAGCCAGGATCATAACAATACTTCCCAGGTCGTGGTTGGATCAGTTTATGCCAGAACACATGTGCCTGATAATGGTGGCAAGGATTGATAGACTGCTGCTAGTTCTCTAGTACTTCCCATCTTTCTTATAAAGGACAGGTAAGCCCCAGCCATCATTGACAGGGAAGAAATCATACACAGTACAAAGAGCACCATCAGCTAGAGAGAAAATATTCACTATATGAAGAGTTGTGGGATAAGGCTTTATGCGTAGAAAGAGAAGCAGCCGAGAGGGACTTAGAAACAAGACCGGGTTTTGACATGAGTGCCGATACTCGGTGAATGTTGAGCAGGTGCTGACTGACCTGATGAACTCTGTGGCAAAGAGAAGCTTGGACTGCTTACTGCTCCTAGTTTTGATTTATGACTGTGGGAAAGCATCTTATTTTATCTTTAATGTGAATATTATGTTGCTACCATCTGACCCAACAGGATGTTGAAATGTTCCATCAAGGCTTATAAAGTTGTCTAGCATCTTTTTATAGAAGAGACTCTATAAAGGGTAGAACTGTAAACATCTGTGGTATTTCTGAGTCACCCATCCTCTTAATATCCGAGTATCTCTCCTGAAAAGTAACCACACAAAAAGCCCTTCCTTTTCCAAACCGAAGGCTCTTACTGAGATTTATTTTCCCTTTAAATAAATTCCTTTGGGATTCCGCATTCAGTATTGTGCTGTGTGCCGTGGCCATTCAGAACTTAATAGCACTTTCTGCTTTTCTTGAGACTCGCATCGCCTTATTGTTTGAGCTGCAGAAGAGACTCTGTAGGGAGCAGAGCAAATCTGATGCTGCATCCCGCCGACATCGTTAGGATGCAATAGGCAGCCTAATGCGCACCGGGGAGCAGCAGCGTGCCTCTGCATCTTTGATTCACCTCACAGCTCCTGCTTATTTCAAGTACCACCCAGGAACAGAGCTTCACGCTGTCTTCAAAATAAAGATAGGATGCCTTGAGCTACTTACACCCTGCTTAGGGGCACACAGCTAAAGAGCTGTTGGGGACACAGAAAAATTCTTTTTGCGTCAACATTGGGACCTCAGCTCTGGTATGAGTTGTAGTAGGAACTTTAGCACTGGTATGAGTTGTAGGGGGAACTTCCATCACTTGTTTGTTAGGGTTTTCATACATGATGTCTAATGTGTATTTGCCTTGCTGTTTTGCCTGATTTTTACAATGCTTTATACACGATGAGTTTCACGATATTTTAGTCAGAGTTGACAGTTGGGACTTTTTTTTTTTTGCCCTGAACAAGTCTGGAGGAGAAGGGAAAGCAAAAATTAGGAGTTGTAAGTACTTCCTTCACCTTACTCACAGCTAGTGGTCAGGGGAACGACTATCACACTGAGGCATGTGAAACGGTGTTGCCATATTAAGGACATAAACTCAGAAGAAGGAACGAACGGATCTCCAGCTAGACAGAGCTTCTCGCGTGGTTGTTGCTCAGCTCATGCCAGTCTCAAGAGCCCTTCTGCTGCTTCTCAGCTGCTATCGCTGGCTCGTGTCATTCCCATTGAAAGAAAGCAGAATTTTCAGACAGCAGCATGCAGTGGTTGGGACCCGACCACCAACAATCCACAATAGCTTTAAGCCGATGTGCTTTTTAAAACCAGAAATCTGTTAGAGTGAATCTTCTGTGTTTCATAACATTATGTGTATGTCTTCTATAATGCTTGCTAGCCAGCTGTGTCTCTGAGAGACCGACAAACAAATCACCCAGCCGTGCTTCCCAGCAAAGATTAAAGCAATTGTTATTTTTCAAATACTGGTCAAACTTATAAGTCTTTTTAACAGAATGCAATATGGAAGGGAAAAGCTGCTTTGTTTGATTCTGCTTTCCTTAATGAGTGGGCAAATTGTTTCCGACTGGGAACAGAATAATATCAAACCCCAAAGCATCCCCTCTGGAAAGAAAAAGCTAGTTTCTCCTGAAAAGGAAGAGTCAAGAAACAAGTTCAGCACTGAATTTGCTCACCACAGCAATACACAGCCAGATACCTTGGAGTGGGGTTTAAAGACAATCTTGAGCTTAGGCTGTACCTCCAAAATGGAGGGGGCAAGGGGAGACTGGTTTTCACTTGCAGTTGCTGTGGCCTTCCTTGCATGAGGACTGAGAATTGCTCAACCTTGGAGCACACTGATTTTGCTCCCTGGTCCAGCTGAAAACTAACGTTGCCCTCTCTGACCTAGGCACCCTTCAGATCACAGGCAGGGAACACAGCTCCTAGGAAGACTCCAAGGGGTAAGAAATGTCCCAGGTTTAACAGAGTAAACTCTGTGGTAAGGGACTCTGACGCTCTGTATTCTGGAACTCTTCCAATTTTCTGCATTTTACAGTTTTCTTTTCATACATAAATACCACCACGTAACAAACCCCAGCAGAGAGTGGCAGTGCGTAACATTTATACACTAGATATGATGGGACTATACCTGTGGTTGTCATAAAGATGCTTAAATGGCTTTGACATCTAAGTGATGGGATTGTCACCATGCAGTTCCGATTACTAAAAAATGGACATTCAGGGCTTTTTTCAGTTTTCTTTTCTGTAACTGTAGGACAGTTACAATTGCTCAGATGCCTTTAAAGCCATAATGAAGTTTAGATTTGAAGG